GTCACCTGTTGTTATCATTGATAACAGGTCGGTTGCCGATTCGTCGGTTCGCGACTCAATTCCACCTCGCTTCCCATACTCAACCTAAAAGGCTTCGGTCCTTGTGATTTTCTGTTTTGTTAAGGTTTCACGCGGGCTTTTATTGAATGGCCATTTAACAAAGGTGTCGAGTATTTAACTAAGGTTGATTGGCTGGAGGTTGGGGCTTGCATGGCTAAAGCGAGGGGTATGAGTATAGGAACTGGTTGGGGTTGACTCCGTGTAGTGTGTGGACTCTTATCTAACTTTTGATGTGATTGCAGGTATGCTTAGTGGCTTGGGGTTTTTGTTGGACTGCCTTGCGGTCGTGCGTATATGTATGGCTAGGAAGGGACCCACTATGATTGTGAGAAGTGATCGTCACATAAATATAGCCCCCCTATATATAGATTTATATATATATGTTTCCTTGTTGGGAATTACCTTGGTGGAACGATAAAGTTTAGGGTGGAAGGGTCAGCGGGCCACTGGTGGTGCGCCAGATAACTCACCACCACTCCAAACCCCTTCCCGCCCTTAGGGCCGTCTCACCCCGCACCCTTTGGGACACCTCAGGGTGCTGAAGGCGGTAAGACTCTCATGCCGGTCTTGCGCCCACTAAAGGGTTGCCCCCTTGTGGCGCGCAGTTCAGCCAACGCCTGAGCGTCGAGAGCGACCGCATGACTCAAAATAGGCCATTTGGGTATGGGCACTACATAGTGCGCCGTCATCACGGTTACCCGCGTAGAGCTGCATAGCGAGATGGTATGTGTAAGATCAGCGCCCTCGCGATCTTATACTAAATTTGCGCGCGCGGCAGTGACGGCACTCGTCGCATCCCACATCAAAAGACTTATGGGTTAGGAGGCGAGACCACGAGCGCGACGCGGCCAATAAACTTGGGATTTTGGGTAACGTGAAGTGGCACGTGGGCGGAGGATTAGTCCCTGTCGGCCTACGGGAGCCCACATACGGGCCTCGTTATCCCGGACGCCGGGTAGCCCATAGTAGGATACCGGGCCTTCTCCGCGCGCACGTCGTTTTGGGCTTGCCCACCCCCTTCTATTTCTAGGAGGCCAACAACTAATGAGAGTTGGGGTGAGTTCCTCTTTGCGCTTCCATAATTGGACGTCGTAGTCCGTGGCAGCCGTCAAAGTCAAACTCCTTCATTCTCGACTGCCACGACAACCTAAAAGCTGTCTATTCAACCCCTCTGCACAGGGTGCAGAAGAGGGTGTGGTCTTCAACCGCACATGGCGGTTGTCTGGCGTCGAGAGATTACCCCTCAAGGCGCTTGTCAGCCGACACTTGAGTGTCGAACGCGACACTCGAGATTAACGATTGCCACGTGAGTATGGGTACTACATAGCCCGCCATCATTGTGACTGCTTGCGTACGCTTGTATTGTGAGTCGATATGAGTTAGCCCTGCGTCCGCGCAGTTTATATTAAAGTCCCGCGCGCGACGCCTATCCGATCTCTGCACTAAAAGTTATGGGTCGGCTACCAAGGGACTAGGAGCATTATCGCGTTGTTCGCCTTGTGTCGCTTCGTAAGTATGCGTGTATGTGTTTTATTTCTTTTTGTGTGTGTGTGTGCTCGTAAAGTGGTGTGCGCGCGGTGTGTGGGATGCATCCTAGTCGACCGACGTCGCGCCGCGCTTGGGACCTCAGCCCCCCAAGATGCCGGTTCGCGTGCGGGTCCGATAGGCATATTACCGCGCGTACCCCCTATGCTACAGCGAACGAGAAACGTCCTCGGCTGGTCCACCTCTGCGATTGCAATTGAGTAGCTTTCGTACTGTGGACTGGTAGCTCGGTGGGGATACGCCCACCGAAGGGAGGTGACAGCTCCCTTAAGGTGGAGGTAAGTTGTGCCTCGCGTAGGCCCTATCCTGTCGTAGGGGTTCGCGAGAGGTATGGCTGGTGCACTCAGCCGGAGCGGCCTAAAGAAGCTCCACGTGTATGTTCGTGACGAGGTTGATCCAACTCTTGCGTGACGCGGCCGAGAGATTCCCGGGCTGCCACGAGCGGTGGCGGACCGATGCGCTCAACAGGTGGCGCTGTTGCCGGGGATAACGGAAACCTACTGTTGTCCCTGGTGGAACGACATCCGGTTACGAGTGATAAGTGTGACTGAAGTAAAAGGTAAGTGACGAGGGACTAAGTATAAAAAGGGGAAGTTAGTACCGGTATATGTGTATTTGGTTGTCTGCCCGGTCCTAGCAAGAACGTGAAGGGTGGCAATACTCATGTCGAGGGTGAGGCTAGGTGGGAGATGCGGGTTAGACTAGGTTGAAGTATGATGCTGAGTAGGTGAGTGTCTTTGGTTTTCTCTTAACAGGGAATTGGAAAAGGAGGCCTACCAAGATGCCGGAGGATGGTGGTGCCGGAAGGGTCCTGACCCTCGAGGACCTCATCGCAGCCCTAGATCGACATGAGAAGACCCCAAGTAATCTTTCGAGGGTTGAGACCTTCCACTTTGATGGGGAAAGGGTCTTTGACTGGCCAGACCTGGTGGAGCAGGCGATGGTGGGATTGTCAGATGAGGTGAAATTCCAGCGTATCATGAGGTACGTACTTCATAGGCACCATCAGGAGGTACATAAGGTTGTGGATGCCGCCCATGGCAGTTGGGCAAGATTTTGGGAGAACATGTTGCGCAAGTATCGGTTGCGTGATGGGTTGCTTACTATCTCAGATCTTGAGGGAATGAACAAGGATGACTTTACCACGATAGGGGCCTTCGTACAAGAGTTTAAGAAGAAGGCAAGGAAAGTTCACGAGATCTCTGAGGAGAGGTAGTGCGCTATTTTTTTGGGGCTGCTCACTGGGTCAGAGGCAGCCGAACTGACGAGTCATGGAGCAGGCAGCGCAAAGCTTACTTGGGCCACCATCGACAAGGGAGTGGAGGATGGGAGTTTGGACAAGTTAGAGCAACACCAGATGCGCCTGCAAAGGAGGAAGAGGAAAGAAAGGGACGCTACCGCATCAGGGACCCCGGGGGTAAAAAGGATCATCACTGATGTACTTGCGACATTAGGCTATGGCCAGGATGCCGAGGTGAGAGAAAGGCGGTAGCCGTGGTCCAAGGCCGAGGGAAAGAGGTGGGGGATGAAGGCGTCGGGCAAGAGGATTACGGTGGGGAGGAGACGGGGTCACAAGTCCTTACCAAGGCCCAGCGGAAGCAACGCAATTTGTTGCAGAGTGGCCAAGGGTCTGGCAAAGGACAGGCCCCTCAGGCAATTGCTGCACCTCCAGTAGCCGCCGCAACCACGCCCGTATCGACGGGGCCGGCACCAATGGGGCCGCCCCCGGCCTGCGGACATTGGGTACCATATTGTCAAGCGGCGCCCTGGACTAGCTATGGTCACTGTACCTCATGTGGAGGGAGTCAAACCCATACTGGACAACTAATTCCTTTCTCAGGGCCGTCAACGAGCGCAGGGCCGCCAAGTTTCCCGGCGACGCAAGGCCAATTCACGACCCAGCCTCCCCCTTCACAACAAGTATCCCAGGCTTGTGTGGCAGGAGGAGGAGGCTAAGGGCAAGGAGGACAGGGCAATGGCGGTCAAGGACAAGGAGGCCGAGGAGGTGGCGGACGAGGCCGGAATGGAGGGGGACGTGGCAGTAGATGGAACAGCCAAGGGGGCTAGGGCCAAGGTGACCAGGGTAGTCAGCAAGGACGCCAAGGGTATGGGAGACACCGCTTTGACTAGCGGAACGTGACCTGCTGGCATTGTGGCATTGTAGGCCACACAATTCGGTTCTGCCAGCAAAGGAGGGATGATGAGCTTGCGGGCCTGATTTCCTCTTGTATGGATGGAGATATATACGACAAGTGGGGGGAACACATTGACCCCAAAACTTCGGGAGGGATCAGGCAGGAGGCCCTTAGGCGGGCAGCGGCAGGACCATCGACCGCCCCGACCATGTTTAGAATGTGGCAGGAGAGAGAAGACCCGGCCATAAGAATCGAAGAGATCACGGGGGATAGTGAAGAGGTTACGCAACGATTAAAAACCAAGGCCGTAAAGGAAGAACCGATAATTGTTGACTCAGATGACGAGGAGAGAGAGGATGAGAGGGAGCCGGTCGTAACCACCTTGGAGTGGATGGAGGATTTAATAGAAAAAATGGGGAGGTACCAGCGGAAACTGAAAGAGCTATGTGATGAAGTCCAAGGGTGGAGAGCCGACCTCCCAAAGGTCTTCCTCTATGAGACCGGGCCGGGGCCGGCAGCTGGACAGCAGAGTAGTCCTGGGGCTGCCTTGGTAGGGTCCGGCCCCAGGTCAGGAATGATGTTCAGGCCGCCCACCCCGCATGGGCGGGCGCCGCAAGCAACTCAAACCAGGAGCCAAAGTAAGGCGGGCCCTAATCAGCCACCAAGCCAAGCGCCGAGTCAGGCACCCCCATGGGAGAGACCTGGGCCTGAGCGTAGAAAGGAGGTGGTTGAGGTCTAGGAAGAGGAGGAAGAGGATGACGACACTGAGGATGGGAGATTCCGTCAGGAGGAGGATCGGCGGACGGAGCAGAGAGCGCAGAGAAAAGAGGCACAAGAGAGAGCCGAGCCAGGTCTACAGGATGGTGTGTCGAGGAAAAGAAAGTACACCGTTAGGTTGGAGGAGGACTTTGACGTGGAAAGGATGGTGGACCGGCTCCTTGAGGGTCATAATGACCTTATGAACTTAAAAGATATTCTGGCGTCCGCACCAAGGCTCCGAGAGGAATTGAAAGGGCGATTGTCCCGAAGGCTAATGCCCAACGTGCATTTGAGCGCCATCCTACCCAGAGAAGTGGGGTCGACACAAGCTGGGACAAGGATGGACTGGAAGTGTGCAGCATGCGGGCTGGTGGATTTGGTAGTAAAGGAAAAGAAATGCGTGGCAATGATGGATACGGGCGCTGAAATGAATATCATTAGGGAAAGAGATGCGCTCATGCTTGGAATGGAGATCGACCGTGCGGACCACGGCGTGCTGCACGGAGCCAACTGCAAGGCAGTTTTTTGCGGCACCACGTCAAATGTGATCATAGAGATTGGCAAGGTGTGGGCAAGAACGTGCTTCTTCGTTATGCCAGATGTGGACCATCCCATCCTTCTGGGCAGATCGTTCATGTGCAGAACGGAGACCCTGATCTTCAACAAGCACGACGGAACGATGATATTGCTCCTGAGTGATCCATCTTGTGGGAACTATGAAGTTGTCACTTGCCGGAACACGGGGCTTGGGAGCGAGCGGAATAGGCCTAACCCCGGCTCGTTCACCTATGTGGAATCGGAGAATGAGCGACGGAGGCTCGCGGAGGAGCCTGAGGAGGAAGATGGGGCGGAAGTGCTGTCACTTAGCCTTACGGATATAAGCAAGGCTATGGAGATCGTGGCGGCACATGAGATGGCAGACCCGGAGGCCATCAAGGCATTAAGAGAGCACGTTTTGGAGAGCCCACGGGCAGGAAAAGTAAGTTGTCACATGCCGGAACACGGGGCCAGGGAGCGAGCGGAATAGGCCTAACCGCGACTTGTTCACCTATGTGGAATCGGAGAACGAGTGGCGGAGGCTCGCGGAGGAGCCTGAGGAGGAAGATGGGGCGGAAGTGTTGTCACTTAGCCTTATGGATGTAAGCAAGGCTATGGAGATCATGGCGGCACATGAGATGGCAGACCCGAAGTCCATCAAGGCATTAAGAGAGCACGTTTTGGAGAGCCCACGGGCAGGAGAAGTAGAGCTTATCTACCGACTTCCCGGGGGGAGAAAAGGGTCTGCGATGGCATAGGCGCAAACGACAAGCCGACCTTTTTTAGGGGACGGCTCAAGCAGGGCGCCCAAAGGCGGTACAAACCGATAGATAAGAAGTGCCGCCCTGTTCCCGTGCTCGTTACGGAAGATGAGGAGGCTTATTACGAGCGGGAGCGAGGGTTGATACGGCGGATGCAAGAGCAGGCAATGAAGGATCCATGCCGTAGCAATGATGAAACTGAAAAGAAGCTAATAGTCGGGGAGCCAGGGTTTCTCTCGCCTCAGGAAAGGATGCTGATGGTGCAGTTGATGAAGAAGAGGCATCGCGCATACGCCTTTAATGATGATCAGCGTGGGAGGCTAGATGTAGACAAGATCCCAATGATCTGGATCCACACCGTCCCTCACGAGCCCTGGAATCTAAGGGGTGCGCGATACCCAAACCCCGATGAGGAGAAGATGGTGGTGGATTATCTGGATGGCAAGATGCGCATGCATGTTGCCGGTTATTCTAGCGGTCCGTATGCTTCCCCTTGGTTCTGCTTTATTAAGCCAAACGGGATGCTACGGTGGGTACAGGATCTGCAGCGACTAAATGCAGTAACGGTGCGAGATGCAAGAGGTTTGCCAAACGCAGATGCACTATCAGAATCATGCGCGGGGAGTCCTATAATATCACTTATAGACCTCTATTCCGGGTATGATCAATTTTCTGTGTACCCGCCCGATAGGCCGGTGACAGCGATGCACACGCCAAGGGGACTAATCCACATGAATGTGGCTTCCCAGGGTTGGACGAATGCAGTGGCAATGGTGCAAAGACATATGATCAGGGCCATGCAAACAGTCAGCCCGCACATCACTCAGCCCTATATCGATGACTTGGCGGTCAAAGGGCCAAAGGAGAAAGAGGAGGACGAGGTGCAGCCCAGGGTGAGGCGTTTCGTTTGGAGGCATATCCAGGATCTCGATCGAGTCTTGGGTCTGCTAGAGGAGCACAACCTCACTGCAAGTGGGCCAAAGTCCAAGCACTGCATGAGAGAAGCCACCATCCTGGGGTTTGTCTGCAACGAGAAGGGCCGGAAGCCAGATGTGAAGAAGACAGACAAAATCCTAGAGTGGCCGGTGTCTTTCCAGACTATAACGGATGTGAGAAACTTTCTTGGCACTTGCGGATTTTGGAGGAGCTTCGTGAAAGATTTCGCCGCCAAGACTGAGCACTTAAGGAAGCTGGTGCGCCAGGACCAGGAGTGGGTTTGGGGCGAAGACCAGGAAGAAGCAGTGACCAGGATGAAGGGAGAATTCAGGGAAGGTGGATTGGTGCTGGAGCGCCAAATTATGAGGGGACTTAAGAAAAGCCGTTCATCATCGAGACAGACGCCGGGCCAACTGCATTGGGAGGGGTTTTGATCCAGGCGGATGCCGAAGGAAAGGAGAGGCCGCTAAGATTCGAAAGCCGTACTCTTAACACGGCTAAGAGGAATTACTCTCAGTTTAAGAAGGAGACGCTTGCGGTACTCCATTGTCTAAGGATCTTCCGGAATTACGTCTCTGGCAGGAGATTTATATTGAGGGTGGACCCTACGGCGCTGACCTGCTCTTTGAAGAATTATACACCATCTGACCCAACCGTCGCTCGATGGCTGACATACATTTGGATGTTTAACTTCGAACTGGAAGGATCCCGAGAAATAAGAATAGAGTTGATGGTCTGAGCCGTGTCAATTAGGACAGTACGGATCAGGGGTCGACTGAAGATACCCCGTTGGTTGACGGGTTCCTGGATCAAGAAGAAGATGTGCGACTCCATATAAACAAATGGGCGCTGCGAGTACCCAGTTGTGTTAGCTATCCCAAAAGGATATGAGCGGAAGGCCGACTTAGTCCTTAAGCCCTTTCAGGAAGAAGATCAGTGGGGAGGCAAGGACACTCAGTGGATGATGAAGTTGGCACTGGCGGGGACGCATGGCTTGGTGGAAGAAAGGAGGACGATAGAGGAAGGGCCTACTCAGGTAGAGGAGAATGAGCAGCTAATGGGAGGGTTGTATCTGCTCACTAATACACTCCTGCAAGGGGACTTCGACCAGAGGGGCTCGTTTAGTCATGAGGAGAATGAAATCCTGATTCCTGAAAGCCAGGACGATGAGTTTGAGGAGGGAGAGATTAAGGAGGCGTTCCGGGCGGAGGAATACGATGGGATCTATCTTGAGTTGGGTCTACTTCTATCCTGTGAAATGAGGGACAGGGATGCTAGCGACAAGGCGCAGAAGTTGAGGCACCTCTACGTGGTGAGAGATGGCCATTTGTTTATAAAACGGCAAGTTGGGAACCCCAAGCGGATTGTGTGTGGAAGGAACCGACAGTTGGACATCATAGCAGCATTGCACGATGGTATAGCAGGAGGGCACAGAGGGATAGGTGCCACATGCGCGAAGATAAGCGAGCTCTACCATTGGGATGGAATGCTGACGATGGTCATCAAGTACTGCCAATCCTGTGTACCCTGCCAAGAGAGGTCAGCGCAAAGGCCGGGAGAGCCTCTGCACCCAAGGCTGGAAAGGGAGGTGGATGCGGTCGTACACTTGGACCTGCTGTTTATGCTAGTTGGGGACAATGGGTGCGATTACATCTTCGATGCACGTGACAATCTCACCGGGTTTGTAGACGGGCGGGCTATCCGGACGAAGACTGACCCGGTTTTGGCGAATTGCATTGAGGAGTATTACCTACGCTATCCGTTCGTCGGGGAGTTCGTGATGGATCGAGGGTCGGAGTTTACCTACAATGAGGTGCGGACGCTGCTTGCTGGGTATGGAGTAGTGGCCAACTATACTACGGTCGCGCACCTGCAAGCGAACGCTCCTGTGGAGAGGGGGCATAGTACCATCACGAATCTCTTGGCTAAGTGGACAGAGGGCAGGCCTGGTCAGTGACCGAAATTCCTGCGAGCGGCTTTTTTCGTGGAAAATATTACTGTGAAAAGGACTACCAAGTATGTGCCAGCTACGCTATGGTACGGGAGGCACGCCACCTTTCCTATAAAAAGCTTTATGAAGACGTGGAGGCGCCAGGACTTGGAGGTAAACTTATCCTTTGAAGAACTGCTCGACATCCGGACACGACAAGTGGGAGTGGCCGAGGAAAGATTGCGAGAGGCCGCTGATCAGGTAGAGAGGAGCTGCATGGAGGATAAGATGAGGTGGGATCAAATGGCGCGAGTGCGGAAAGAGCCCTTGGCAGTGGGAGATAGTGTGCTATTATATGACTCATCCCTGGAAAAGCAGTGGTCAAGAAAACTTGACAAGAGATGGTTGGGGCCTTACAGGATTGTGCGATGCGGCGAATTCGGGGCATACCAGATCGAAGAGCTAAACGGCACGGAATGGAAAGATTGGGTATCTGGGACAAGGCTAAAGAAGTTTGTGGCCAGGGAATAGGTAAAGTCGCAATCCCTCCCAGTAGCTGCGATCCCTCCTAGAGTAGACCCTCGTCCTAAGTATTGCGTGCCATGATTGAGGGCGAAGGCTTGATGCGTTTGAGATTGGGTGTATGTTTGCTCTGAAAACTGTTGAAGTCATATGCTGATCCTGTTGTGTGCCTGGTTGTTTCCTTTCGCCTGATGTGCAGGTCTGACTTTTTGAAGGCAACCATGCAGAGGGGCGGGCGGGGCACGCGGCCACGACAGAGACCTCTCGGGGCATCCAGAGGGGAGGAGCGGCATGGGCCCTTCAGGAGGGAGCCTACACCTGTGTTCGATGACGACAACATCGAACTCTTCTTGGATGCCTACCAAGAGCATGTAGTCCAAAGGGGATGGGACGTATCTGAGAGGGTACGTCACTTGAGGGGAGTTGGGAGGTTCGAGGAGCCCATTGCGCAAATCAGGGAGGAAGCCCTGACTTGGTCGGAGGTAAAAACGAGGATGCAGAGATTGAGAGCTTCGCCTTTGGGGAACGATGAGCTACCTATCCGCTTGGAGGAAGGTAATGTGGAGGAGTTTATCCCGGCATACGAACAGTATATGAGCGATCAGGGGGTTCCGAGGGATGAATGGGCGCAAACGCTACTCATTTGGACCAGAGGAGAGGAGCGTCCGCTGGCGAGACAGATCCAGGGTCGGGCACGAGATTGGGAGGATTGTCGGGCTCAGCTGAGGGTGGCATTTCGGCGACCGGAACCAGAGAGGCCAGAACCAAGGGTGGATAGAAGGCGGCGGAGTAAGAGACTATGGGATTTGGAGGCAAGAGAGTCGGTGGCGTCGAGAGGTGGCTGGAAGGCCCTGGCGCAGCGGGAGGGAGGACAAGCAGGATCGGCTAGGGCAAGGGAATCCTTCCCTGCCTGTGGCCTCAGGCAGGTGGAGTTTCATCGAGTCACGTACAGTGACTTGTTGGGGCCCTTGCCACAGGCGCCAGAGCGGAGGGAAAGCGAGGTACCGGCAGCACCGTTCGAGGGTTTGGAGGCCCACTTGGACGCGTCCCAGTGGGAGGCCCCTTCCGCAGGAGGAAGCCCTATAGAGCCATCGGGAGGGGAGCAGACTCGTCTAGAGCCTGAGACGGAGCCGCTCAGACTGAAGGGGGTAGGTGCAGAAGATGTCATTATGGTAGAGGGTGACACCCCCCCCGGCTCCCCAGCTCGAGCTCAGATGCGGCGGGCTTGGCCTGAAGGCGTCCCGGAGCCAGGCGGCTAGGAGGCCTCAGTACCGCCACCAGAAGCCGCTATGTCACCCAGGCAGGAAGTTGAGGCGAGGGGGCCGGCAGAGAGGTGGAGGACGGAGCCCCGTCTAGTCATTGACTCACGGTTAGCTGCACATGCGGCCGAGCACCCAGACATTGAGGGGTCCAGCCTGGCCGGGCCATCATCGAGGCCAGCGTGTGCTGAGTCAGAGGGAGGCCCGCAAACTGCGACTGGGGAGGTCTCGGAGGCAGGCGCAAGAAAGGAGCCGGACGTCGCCGCCCAGGCAAAGCGTGCCAGGGTGCGGGCTCGCTTCGCGGAGATACATGAACGAAGGGACAGGATGGAGGCTGCAGGGATAGCGCCAAGGCCACTTTTCGCCCCAAAAACGAGTGAAGAGAGGATTGATGAGTTGTGGGCCAGATATGAGGGGCGGAAAGAGGCAGCTCGCCAGAGGGCACGAGAGGCGGGCCAGACGATTGAGGGTGCTGACGAGGCGATAGAGGTTGGAGAGCTGGGTTTTACCGCCACTAGAAGGGCCATCGAGTGGGTGGACAAGGGGATAAAGCAGACATCCATCGAGGCATTTCAAAGGTACTCCCTGCTTAGTGATGAGTTGGCTCTCAGGAAAGACAAAGTGGAACAGCTGACTGCCCAACTCGCAGAGGAGAGGGCCGAGAGCAAGGCCACGCAAGCTCGCCTGGAGGCGAAGGAGACTGAGTGGGAGGCAAAACTCAAGGAAATGGCGGCCACGGTGGAAAGACTTGCCGCCACCAAGGTAATCGACTTGACTGAGCAGAGCAGGTACGACATCCAAGGCAAGGAGGTGCAAGGGTTGTTTGGCCAAGAGGAGGCAGCGGAGGCATCTCGGCAAGAAAAGTTAGGGAAGGTATTTCTGGACCCAGCTGAGACAGAGGCAAGGAAGGAAGCCAACAAGGGAAGCTTTGAGTTCAAGGCTCCCACTGAGCTGGCTTCGCAGCAGGAGGATCCTGCTTCAACGGATACCCCTATGGAGGCGCTGACCCAAGAACCCCAACCTGCACCAGAGGAAGAGGAGGCGCCTGAGGAGTCACTGGCGATCCTTCTGGACGTACGGGAGGGGACTCTCACTGGAGCGGTAGAGCCTCCACAGCTTGAGGCACAGGGGGAGGGGCCGTCACGTCTAGACGAGTTGATAGCAGCCATGGAGGTGGATACGCCGCCAGAGAGGCCTCAGGGATTGGAGGCCCCAGAGCACGAGCCAAAGTTGGAAGAGTTGAGGGTACAGCTGGGCTCGTGGGCCACTCGGACCGACTCGGGAGGACCGACTACTGACCAACGGTAGCAGGAGGCCACAAGCCAGCCTACTAGAGCCGCTACTCCCCAGGCTCCGAGGCCCCGCGAGAGGAAGAAGGAAGCCATGTTGGAAGTAACCCACGAGAGCCGGCCACTGAGATTGGATACCCCTGGGTACCAACCCGAAGGAGAGATGCAGCAAGGGGAGTCAAGTGCCCATGGAATCGGAGGAGAAGCGGAAGGACCGTGGGACCTGCCCCAGAGTCATGAAGTGAGTAAGGAGAAGGAAGAGGCACCTCCATCGTCAGGAACCCAGAAGAAGAAGAAGAGATTTCAGAGGAAATCAAGGGCCATGTGCTTCTACTTCTTGGATGGCGCACATAGGGCCCTGGAGTGCCCTAAGTTCCTCGAAGATAAGGCTGAGGGGAAGGTTACTGAGCAGAATGGCAAGATGTATGATAGACAGGGTTGTGTGGTGGAGAGGGCTCCAGATGGGGGCAGAGCCCAGTTGTATAGGCAAAACCAGGAGGAGATGAGTGAGTAGGGACTAGTTCGCCTATACGCTAGTAGGGGTGAAACGGTTTTTGTACATAGAAAGAGTGAGTCAGGGGTGTAGGGTATCATGAGCCAGATACGTGTATCTTAGGGTGTGGATGCGACAAAGGACTGATGTACAATAAGGTTTTGAGATTCTTTGCGCATCGTGGTCCCGGGGACTTAGGCTCAGTTGTGTGATACTTAGGACACCTAATTGTATTGCGTTTTGTTTTGATATCAGAGTCTACCTGTAGGTGATGTGAGAGTCAGTAGCACCTAGGGTATGAGCTCACTGGATATGAGAGGGGGCAGAAAACTTGGGTATTGATGTTGAGGTTTGAGAGACACTCTATTGTTGAGTATATACTGAGTTGGGACTTGAGGCTACTTCCCTATGTGTGACGATCACTCTCACTCTCGCATGTGCGGCTTTTCGATATATGATGATTTGTGTGGGATTTGTGTGACAAACAACTCATATGTTTGTGCCTTATGAGTGAACGTAAACTGTCTACTCTTCGGTATACTCGTGCGACCTGCCCATGGGCAAATACTAGAGCCGAGTATAAGGAGAGGGAGCGCAGTCTGTCTTGTGAAAGAGAGTTGTGAAAATCCTAAAGGGTCTATGAGTCCTTGGGACTCGAAAGCTTATCATGCCAATGTGTTTACGTGTCTAAGTTGTGTTGGAGGCCCATAAGTTGGCCTCCTGTTCTGTATTGTTGTTATGGCTGGATTGTGGCTTATGTTATTTGGAAGACTCATCTTCAGGAAAGGAAGGTGTTTTACACAAATCATATGAGGGTCCATCCTAAAGAAGAGAAGGATGGTTGTCAGACCTATTGAGTGGAACCTCCCCCATAGGGTGGATGGCTAACAGATCTGATGGCATGAAAAGCTGGATTGGTAAGATGAAAGACTGACGAAAGGAACCAGGTTTACTGGCCACTTGGTGAGATTTCTTGAGAATGTCGCAAAATGTTTGATTTTGAGAGGTGCCGCTGAGATGTGTGACCTTCCTACCCTGGTCGAGTTAGGGAGTCACGGCCTGGTGGACCTGACGGTGCCTAATGGTTGTGAATGTGGAGAGGTTGCCATGTCTTCGCTGTGTTGTCCCACGGAGAGCTGGTAAATGCCTGTCTTTTGTGACAAGCCTATGCGCAGTCCCGCAGTAGGCTTGTACTTATTGCGACGCACCTTCAGGCCACCCGTGCTAATCTCAAGGCACGTAAGGAAGACCAAGCTAAACGGTAAAGTTTTGGCACCACTAGGGCGTAACCCCTAAGGATGGCCGCGGACCGGCACAACCTGGCCGCGGGCCCACGTCAGACCACGGGAGTAAAGGCTTAAAGGGTGTGGCCGCCCGGGAAGGTTTTACCCATGTGGAACGGCCTGGGATAGGAGTCGAGTCATATGAGTCTTTTCGGGAAGTCCTGATTGAGTGTGTATCAGGAAAAAGCCTCTCGTGGCGCAACCTGCGAGGGCACTGCCGCTAAGACAACGACGCTGTGGGCCGTAGATCTGGCCTGATCAACCAGACTATGGTGGGCCAAGATGGAGACCTAGCACTTCCGTACTAGACTGCGGAAGCTGCTGAGAGAGAGTCAAGGACGCACATAACTATGTGTCTAATTGTGAGGGGTTTCTTGAGAGAAAGGCAAAAAACCTTCAAAGGTCTCGGTTAGGGTCCGCGTCCCCAGTTATGATCCTACTTACCAGGTAAGGACTGGGGACACCCAACGAGAGGCCGGCGCTTGTCTAGGACAAAGGGACGAGGACGGGTATAAGGGCCTTTGAAATTTATGCTGTAGTACCGATGCGCAGTACACCGGTGTCCTAGCGACAGGACAATGGAGACCCAGGTTGAAACCCTGGCAGCATAAAGTTGTGTGGGCGTGGACCGCTGAGGGCCTCGAACCTAAGTCTGTCGGCTGATCGGATTGGTTCCTTCTCGTCAGCATTTTGGCATATGGATGGCTTGATAGCTTTTTAATCTTGCGAAGCGACGGGGACGTCGCTTAATATAGTCCAGTAGGCTGTCGGCGCGAATACCCTTGCAAGGGTATTCTCCTTGGGTTTTTGCAAGTGACAGTGGGGCCAATGGTCCGGGCCTACATGTTCAAACGGCTACTTATGTATGGACCAAGGTTGTCTAAGTAGGTAGTGTGAGTGGGCGTGCAGTTTCAAGGCGCGCGTGTGATTTTGCCCTTTTGATTATGCCACTGACGAAGACGGCCGGCTTGACCTCGCGCCCTTGATTAAGCCAAGGGCTAGTAGGCCGACCCTCGGTCGCCCCATCCGACCGACAGCGAGGTCTGTAGGTGGGGTGATTCGCAGGGCGGCGTGGTTGCGCGGCGGCCGTGCACTGTTTATGGGCGGGGGTACGCCTGCGGGCGCGTCCCAGCCCTAGGCGCCGGGCTGCACCACTTCAAATGGGATTCAGCGCCTGCTGATCCCAGGTTGGGCCATAGCCCTATAGGTAACGGTGCAAGGTTATTGCTGGG